TCTTGGTCTCGTTGCACGGGAATGGAAACCTTTGGGCGATTCCTTGGGACCCCGCGCCTGCGCTTGCCTCCTTAGCGCCAAAGAGGGAACCTACTGCTCTGCGCCCGCCTGGCCTTAGTCGTCATGGCTTGCGTCACCTCAACCTCATGAGGTGGGCGCCCGCATAGGAATCTCCGCTCCTCGGGAGCTATCCTGGGGAGGTCGCTCCCTCCGGAGGTCTTGGCATCGTCCGCCTCGCGAGGGTCTTGTCTTGCTGGTGCTGAAGATGGGCCATACTAGGACGTCGATGGAGCCATGTCGTGGGCTGCAGGCAGGCAAGTCTGGGTACCCTTGTTCCAGAACACCGACAAGCGGGGGTGCGTGTGTGGGCATTACCGTCGCGCCCCCTCCCCCTCATTTATAACCGTGGAGGATCGTGGTGGAGCAGGATCAATTGCGCCCATGATCCCACTTCCCCGCGCTATGCGGGCACGTTTCCCGTGTGCCTTAACTACATCGAGAAATGCAACCGTTCGCCGATGCCACAATCAGTCCCCCGTGAGCGGGCCGAGGGTGCGGCGTGGTGGGACCTGACCCGCCGTCGCGTCCTATCGCGCGCGTGGCCTGGCAGGGCCTCGCTCGCTGGTGTTCACCACATGGTGGCACGTCGGGCCACGGTAGGCGCGAACCCTCTCTCAATTCAAGGCTCGGCTGGCATTTCGGTTTCCCTCCCAGGCCGGGATGCCGTGATCCGGCTTCAAAAGCCGGCACTCAGCGGGTGTTGTCGGGACCCGGCGATCGCGAGCCAGCGTCGGGCGCCAGGCGCCACCAGGCTAGACAGCATACTTCATCAATAAAACCACCTCCTCCGAGGGTGAGGGTAAGCTGTGAAGGCCCCCTTCTTGGGGTCGACGATCCTTCAAAGCTTCGGGGACTACTGTCGGGGAAGGGTGACCCCCGGGCAGGCAACGGAACCCGGATCCCTTTTTAATACATCGGGGCAAGCTAGGCCCCTCAATCCAGCTAGCCAACCTGCTGGCTCCCCAGTGCGAGCCGGTCGGGTGCCGCGGCCTGGCTCAGCCGGCTAGCGCATGCCGGCTGACCATAAGAAGACAACACCTGATGACAAGCAAGCATGGCTACAACGCTCCTCCCTTTATGTCGGACCAGGCGGGCGTGTCTGCAGTGCGTCCTGCGCCCCACCCGGGGCGAGCAGTGTCTAGGCGATGCAACCCTGTAGTTAGGCGGCGCCAGTCGCCCCGCGACGTGGGACGTGGCTTGCCACAATGTCGGGCTGCCGGCCGTACCCGCGCCCGGCGGACCCGGCGAGACCCGCACCCGACAGACCCAGCGGCCCCCACCGTCAGCTCCTAGACAATGACTCTAGGGGCCCGTGCCCCTATAACATTACCATTATGACCCCAAGGGGCAACCTATAAAACCCCCTGGTACCCATCCATGCAGGGGGGTTCAGCCCGGTTGCCCGATTAGTAGAACACACTCCCCCCCCCACACACACACATACGAGGCAGGACAGAGGACCAGTTCCCTCTTCCTCCTCCACCCGAACAGCTCCAGGAGCAACTCTGTAACCTAGTGCATATCATCCATTCCGCAGGACTAGGGGTGTTACCTCCTCCGGGGGGGCCTGAACCTGGGTATGTCTCATGTCACACACTAGCACGTGCCAACCTCGCCTCTGGAACCCACCAGCATCCTCATGTCGCCCCCCTCCCTCTCATTTTTAGCCATCCCATGGCATCTGCCGTGAGATCACCACGACACCGAGGTGGCCAGTTGCATTGGCGTAGAGCATGACGCTGGCGAATACAAAGAGCTGGACAGGTAAGAAGGTCTTCCCGTAGCCAATGTTGTCGTTGATCCAAAGAGCCATCGAGGTTTTTTTACCACACTGCGGGACCTATATGGGCCACCAATGTCAGGGTTGAATCCGACATATCTCGGGTAGGGTGGTCCCGAGCGGGTGATCTTAGCTTGATGGTAACAGGAGGAACAAGGGAAACGATGTTTACTCATGTTGGGGGCCTCTAGAAGAGGTAAGACCCTATGTCATACTTCTATTGTATTGATTGACTTGGAGTGCAAAGTACTGGATGATTACGTCGAGATCGTATGTGAATGTACGATTTTCCCTACCCTACAAACTAAAACCCAACAGCATATATAGGGATCGGGGGTACCTAGGGTTTACATGAGGTCGGTTACATCTAGGGATAAACATGCCGATAATTCAAATGTGTCTTGGACTATGTGCCCAGTCTTTGAAGGATTCCATCTTGAGCACACGGAGGAGCATGGTAGTCTTGTCCTAGTTGTTGATGATCCAGGGGGTCCTCGGCCCAGCTCACTATTAAGGGGTCGATGTTGTTTGCACCCCCTATTTCAGGACACTGTCACCCGCACCCACACACCTCTCCCAGCTACACGCCACACCCGATGGCCGCTCTTGTCGGGGTTGGTTGGCTATTTTCGCCGCCATCTAGCACCTCCACGGTCATGCAACCCCATGGACTTTGTTGCCGCCGGCATCCCTCCATGCCCGGCGGCCTCGCTCCACGGTTGCCTCCACATTGACAGGTACGCTGCCCAGCCTAGGAGAGGCACGGGGCTCTTCACCGGCTGGCTTCTTCCACCACGCCCGCAAGGTGTCCAACGTTTCACCTACAATGTACAAATGGATAGTGAAGATGAGTTCTTTTTCAACAACTCCATTTGTGATTCGGACGATTTGTCATCGTACAATGAGGAGTTTGTGGTTGCTACTTTGGTCGTCAATGACCACATTGCTAGGCAACGGCCATTGTTTAGGGGCTCGATCCCAGGCCATGCCCCGGCATTAAATTGCAACAGAGAGAGCGGCCATTGCCTACACTGGTCTGACTACTTTCAGTGCACATCCCGACTCTACAAACCCAAGCTATTCTGGCACCGCTTCCGGATGGCTAAACATGTGTTCAATTGTATTTAGGAGGGCTAATGGCATATGATTATTATTACTTATGAAGGAGGACGCCCTTGGAAAGGTTGGCTTTTCCTCTTATAAGAAATGCATTGCAGCTATTTGAATGCTTGCATACAGAATACCCGGTGATCTTGTTGATGAGTATGTCCGCATGAGTGAGTCCACATGCCTTGCGTCAATGTACAAGTTTTGCAAGGCTGTGGTAGCAGTGTTTGGCCGGAGTACCTGAGAGAGTCAAATGTTGCAGATACAACCTGGTTGTTGGTAGTATAGATTGTATGCACCGGAAGTGTAAGAACTGTCAGTCTGCTTGGCAGGGGCAGTATAGAGGGGCATGTCAAAGCTTGCACTGTCATACTTGAGGCTGTGGCTTCACAAGATCTTTGGATTTGACATTCTTTTTTCGGCATGGCTGGCTCTCACAATGGCATCAACGCGCTTCAATGTTCTTTGGTGTTCTGAAGGCTTGCAGAAGGAAACTCCCCAGAGGTCAACGTTGAGATCAATGGCCACCACTACAACAAGTGATACTACCTTGTTCATGGTATTTATCCTCAATGGAGAACTCTTGCGAAGACAATCCCCAACCTGGTAGGAGAGAAGAGGCAGAGTTTTGCCCAAGCACAAGAGTGCTAGGAAGGATATGGAGCGTGGCATTGGTGTGCTTCAATCTCGATGGGGCATCATTTGATATCCTGCTAGAACTTGGAGCACCAAAAAGTTATGGGAGGTGGTGATTGCTTATGTAATCATGCACAACATGATCCTAAAGCATGAGCGTGAGGATGAAATCTTCGACTAGGGGTTTCAATGTTGTGCCTCAGCATGGAGGAGCGGCAGCGCTTGCACAGTTCACTCAATTTCATCATGAAATGCCCGATTGCGCAACTCACACTCAACTCCAAGATGATTTGGTTGAGCATATGTGAACTCACCATGGCAATCATTAGATGTATCGGTTCCTTTTCTTTTAGATGTATTTGTGCAATTTATATTTCATTTGGTTATGAACTATAAGATTTTGTTCATTTATAAGACTATGTGATTTTTATTTGGTTGTGAATTATGTGGTTTAAACTTTGGGCAATGTAGATATCTATGCAAATAATTGTGCAAACATCCGGCCACATGCCGACCACGCGGACCAAAATGCGACGCGTTGGCGGCACAGGCCAGTCAAACACGAATGGGGCCAACGCCATCGAAAACGCCGATCCAAACGAACAAAAAAGAGACAAAACATACCTCTATTTACATCGCCGCGTTGGAGTTTCTCCAATCATCGGAGCCGACTCAGTTAGCGCTTAGTGCTACGTTGATATATCTTTGACGCGCATATGGGTTGTCTAAAAAATGCAACAAATTCCACCTACATTCTTGTTATTTTTTGTTAATTTACTTCTCGGTTAGTATTTATCTGCTCCCTTCCAAAAAAAAAAGAAGCGGAAAACACACAGCAGGTTGGCTTTCACCCGTCCCCACAGCAGTTTTTGTTGCGTTGCGTTGGCATCTTCCTCAGAAGAAGAACCCATCCATACCTGCCATTGTTGACTTATTTCGGCAAAGGCGCACCGGAAGAAGAACGCCTCTTCGGAAGCTGCCGAGCTCACCAACTCCATCATTGCTGCCAAGTCTGAAACCCTTTGCCTCATAATTCTGTCGACGCTCTCGGATTTCTCGGACCGCTCCCCACTTATCACTGATAAGTAAGTTCGTTCCGACCTTGTGCTCTTGGTTGCTGCACTTCACACATGTTTTGTCACGATTCGTGCTGCGGTTTTGGAAATTCGGACTGACGATTGGGGTTTGGCTTTGGACGGATGATTTCTGGGTTGAAGCGGATGATCGGTAGGTCTGATACCCAGGTTGATAGAAAGGGGGATTTTGCTACCCGTACCTGCGACCGGGAGCATGCATGCCATTTGTTTGTGGAATTGCGACAGCAGGGAACTGATTCTTGAATTCTTGCAAGAAAAGGCTTCGTCGGTGTGGTGATTCGACTCTATCAGGAGTTGTGTTGGTGCCCTGAGGCGAAGCCATGGACGTCGTGCAAACAATCGCCTCGGCCGCGCAGCTGGTGTCTGCAATGGTGTCCGCGGTGGGAGCGCTGGAGCAGGCGGCCGCGGACGCCGCTGAGGCTCCAAGGAGGCTCCAGGTGCTCGAGGACTTCGTGTCGGACCTTGAGGTGTTGGTGCAGCAGGCTAAGCAGAAGCACGCGCACAAGATGCACGGCCCGCAGCTGGAGCGCCAGTTTCAGAGCTTGAGCAGGCTCATGGATCAGCTCCGTGCCAATATCATCAAGGCGAGGCGAGCCTTGAAGAAAGGGAAAGGGAAGGGCTTGGCTAGGGTGGTTTGGAGCTCGGTGGTGGGAGACCCCCTCATGAAGTACATTCAGCTGATCAGAGATGACCTCAACTGGTGGCTGGAATTGCAGAAGTTGACAGAGAACGTAGGCAAAGCTATAGCGTCTACTGCTAAGGCCACGCCATCGTTGGTCAGAGTCAAGTCTGAGCAGGGCTATCCAGTGTCAGAGAAGTGTGGCTATGTTAGGGACATTTTGGAGAGAGATGATGGTCATCGAGTTGTCCTGATTGTTGGATTATCTGGTATTGGGAAGTCGTGCCTCGCTCGACAAATAGCTTCTCAGCCGCCTGGTAATTTTGTGGATGGCGCAATTGAGCTCAGTTTTGGCCGGTGGTGCAGTAGAGCAGCTTGTAATGGAAGCAGAAGTGAGTACCATAAACGTCTTGTTAGGAAGATAAGCAAATTGCTAGTGCAGATTGGTTCCATGACTGTCAACGAGGACACGAGCAAAGATCTTGAAGATGTGTGTTGCTTACTTCAGAACGCGTTGGTTGGAAAGAGTATGTTAATACTACTCGATGACGTCTGGGAGCAAGACATAGTTGATCGCTTCACCAAGCTATATGGTAATGGTTGCCGGTATCTTGTGACAACAAGGGATGAAGCAGTTTATGAGATAGCAGAAGCTGAAAAGGTAGAAATATCCAAAGATGACATCAAGAAAATCAGCAAGGGCATTCTTCTCTATCATAGTCTGCTTAGTGCTGAAGAGCTTCCGGTATGCTTTGTTATTTTCCTTATAATTCTTTAGTGAATTTATCGATATTGCCGTGCCTCTTAGTTTTCTATGTTAAATTTAATTTACAAAATGCCCACTTCCCTTCATGACGTATCCTGCAGTCTAGGTCTCATCCCTTTCTTTCATATGTTCATCTTCTGAGTTTCAAGATTGGCTTCATTGTATTAACAGCATGTCAAAAAAATAAATTATATCCATGCAAATCTACTTAGAGCTATTAATTGTGCTTATTTTGCCATGCAAGATATACTCAATCTAGAAATTATTGCTACAGACTACTTTTATGTGTTCCTAGATGGTTTACCTTTTGGTACTTTGCAGCCTGTTGCAGACGACTTGCTGGACAGTTGTGGGCACCATCCCCTTACAGTTGCTGTCTTAGGTAAGGCCCTAAGGAAGGAGACCAGAATGGAAAAATGGGAGAAAGCAATATCCAACCTTTCCACATATGCAACTTGTGCACCAGGTCCAGTTTCATATGTGAACGAGAAAGAAGTTGAGACCACCTTGACCATATTTGGATCTTTTGAGTTCAGCTTGGAAGCAATGCCTGAAAATTCACGAAGGTTTTTCATGGTTCTCGCAGCTATTTCATGGGAAGAACCTGTTCCAGAGGCATGCCTTGAATCCGTCTGGTCAGCACTTGTGCAGGACAGTTTATTCCCTATTGTGGTTTCAAAACTAGTAGAAGGCTCACTCATCATCAAACTGGAATACCAATCGATGTATCATATGCATGACATGGTTTTTCTCTACCTTGAGAACAAAGCAAATGATGCTGCTCATACTCTTCTGACCGATTCATTTCCTGAGTATGCTGCATTGGTGGCTCCTTGGCTTTTTATTTTTGGCAAAGAGACCGTGAAAGGGCCAGCTGAGCAGAAGATGAGATCATTCTTTTCTTTGCTAGAGTTCATGGAGATTGAAATCTTACTGGGAAGCACCACCCAAGCTCTCATGGCATGCAAATCAATACCTGAATTTGAGGCTAGCAGGCTTGGCTTTAGCAAAATGCTTGGACCTCGAATAGCGGAGCTAATTTCTGTTGGGTCACAAGCTCTTATTGTTGCTGTCACTAAAGCTATTACAGTCGTCTTTTTCCAAGGAGACTATGCAAATCTCGCCCAATCTATTGAAACAGCAGGTTCTGTTGATAAATTAATATGTGTTCTTCGTGGCTATGTGGATTCTTCATCTCTAGCCAACGTTTCTGCTGTTCTTGCCAAGGTATCTGAGCATGTCAGTGCCAAAACTGCCGACGAGATTTTGTCAAGCATTCCCATGGACAAAATTGCAGAACTACTGTCTCCAGAAAATGAGGAGTGGCATGAAATTGTGTTCACAACTCTAGCATCACTGATAAAAGTGGGAAATTTAATGGCTGTTGAGATAATGATCGAAGCAGGAGTTGACAAGAAGCTCCTTGTACTTTTAGGTTGCAGTTCTGAGATCTCACAGCATCATGCAATTATCATGCTGAAAACTTTCTGTGAGCTTGGTGCGCCACTTAAAGAGTGCATGGGGCCTGGACTGTTGATTCATTTGCCATGGCATGCTCGGCTTGCCTTGGAGAGGTTTGTTTTATCTGACCAAAATGTAGCCCCATCACCGAAGCCTCAATACTTTGAGGTGCTTCTTCACAGGATTCTACAGACAGACAGCAAAGATATCATTGAAGCTATCCAAGGTTTATTACCTCTTGCTGAGAGGGCTAACGATCCTAGGGTGCAAGATCTTCTTTTGGGAAGCAATCTGTGTGATAGGTTGGCATTTCTGCTGCAGCGCAGAGAACCCGAAAACAACCAAGTGAGGTCTCAGACTGCCTTTCTGGTAATGAAATTGGCCTGCACCGGAGCAGAGCCATACATCCGTAGGTTCTTGGAGCTTAATATTGTGCACGAGCTCATTGCCATGATGCAGTCCTCTACCAATGACCTCCAGGATTCAGCATACCATGCTCTCCATCAAATCGTGTATGCAAAGGGAGGATCACTAGTCTTGCAGAGGTTTTTACAACTAGGAACTATAGAAAAATTGGTCAATCTGCTCGACCGTAAGTGCGTCAAGACAAAGGACCTCACGGTGCAACTTCTGGTGGACATTGTGGCAGTCGGAACCAAACCCTGCATACAAAGAATGCTCTCTTCCCAAGTCATCGAGAAACTTGTTTCCCTTGAGAAAGCAGGTGGGTCTTTCAGCGGGTCAGTGTCAAGATATATCCACGGATTGAACATGTGCGAGAATATCCAGTCTGCTGAGAGAGCAGTGATGAAGCAGCATATTTTGAGGAAAGTGAGATCGGCGGTGAGAGGGCATGATCTGGAGACGAGTCTAATTGCTTCTGTGGAGGTCTGCGTTTCTGAAGGCACAAAAGGAGCCAGCAGTAGCAGGAGAAACAAGTAGCATTATGCTGCAAACTTCAGTACTTGAAACATACATATAATCTTTGTTTTGAAAAGAGAAACATATATAGGTTAAGATGCTGCAAATTCAGATAAGAGCTTATTCATCAATATTTTGATAGGCGTTCCTTTTTCCAGTACACGAGTTGTTTTCCTATAGAAAGAGAGAAGATCATGAAAGCTCATACTGTCGCACTGTCCATGGGTAGTTCTGCATAACTAGTCTGAGCAATTATCCATATCCACATCAGCCCCGGCGTACAAATTAACAGAAGTAAGTTGCCACGTTCAGTACATGTCCACAGTCCACAGACCAAAGCAGTCGAGTCTATTGTGTTAATGGACTGTGGTCTTCTACCGAAGTTCCTTAACCTTGTAAGAGAAGCATTGCCTGGTACAGTTTTTGTGCCTATTAGAGCATCTCTAGCCGATCCCCTAAGGCTGGCCCCAATGGGGAGTAACATAGAGTAGTAACATACATGCCACGTAAGCATGTTACTACTCTATGTTACTACCTCCACAGTGGGTGGTAACTTATGGGTGGTAACTTAGAGGGTTTATTTATTGCTTTTGTGGGATCTATAGTAGTAGTTCAACTTTGTGATCTATATGTGGCATGTACCAACAAAATTTGTGTTTTCCGATACTTATGGATAAATAAAAGAACACAAATTTTGATCATAACAAATAATAAAGTATAATATTATATTATTGAAATATATAGAACATATTTAGCAATACATCGATCAAGACTTGGATATAATCTATTCGCGCCCAAACTTTCTCCATATATGCTCAATCAAATCATTTTTAAGAGCCTTATGCGTTGGACGATCACGAACTCTAGCATCTCTTTCAAGTACCTCGGCAAATTCTAGCATGTCACCATGAGTAAAAACCGAAGGAAGGGCAATCGACGAGCCTGCTTCATAATTCAAATCAAGAATATTTCCCGCCTCTTCTTGTTCATCATCGACTATCATGATGTGTAGAATGATGCATGCCAACATAATATTATTGAGATCACCCCGTTCATATAAACATGCCGGAAGCCGTAAAATAGACCATCGCGCCTGCAACACACCAAATGCACGTTCCACGTCCTTTCTTGCTCCCTCTTGATGTTTCACAAACAACCTGTGCTTTTCTGTTAAAGCCATCGGTATTGACTTCATGAATGCTGCCCCCTCGGGGTATATTCCATCTACAAGGTAATAACCAAGTTGATATTCCTTCTCGTTGACAGTATAGTTCACTCGAGGAGCTTGCCCTTTCAGTTGCTCAGTGAACAGCGTTGATTGGTTAAGCACGTTGATGTCATTGTTGGATCCGGCAACACCAAAAAAGGCATGCCATATCCAAAGATCTTGAGATGCAACCGCCTCTAGAATAACAGTAGGGGCTCCTTTATACCCGCTAGTGAATTGCCCCCTCCACTCTAATGGACATTTCTCCCATCTTGAACAACAGTAGGGGCTCCTTTATACCCGCTAATAACAGTCTGGTTCACTACTGGCCATCTTGAACAGGGAAAGAAGTGGTGCAGTGTGCAGGAGTGAGGAAAAGAGAAGGCATACGCTTGTATATATAGCACACTGTTGTGAAACGATTCATGTGTAAATGAAAACTCAAACGATTGAGCTTCAGCAATGATTAAAAAAGGTAACGGGCATAGTAGTAGCTGATCGGTCCATCAATTAGAGTAGCTTCACCGATGATTCATAAAAGGTAACTGACAATAGTAGTAGCTGATCAGTCCAAAAGCTAACAGCAAACCATCACGTTCACATCAATTTTAGAGTAGCTGATCGGTGCACACAATAAACTGACCGGACAACAAAAGTGATAAACGATCCATCAGGTTTACACAACAAACTGACCGAGCCAATTTCTAATATGCTTCAAGCTGTTGATCTTTGCGGTTTCAAGCTGTTGATTTGATAAAAGAACCTGGCTATCTATCACCTTTTGGCGCTCCTCCTTCGATTGATTGTTAACCTCGATGAACTTGTCTAGCCTTTCTCCAAGCTCTTGCGAGATCCCTCCCGACTTTCCTTTACCAGCACGTTCAGCCTTAGCCTTATCACGACCAGCTTTTGGGCGCTCTTCGGCCTCCAAGTTGATCATATTTGATGGGAGATCGGTCTCTGTCATGTTTCCTTTTTTTGCCATCATGTTTTTATAAGAGGCTAGCCATTTTGAATCATCCTTGATTTTTTCCCACATAGTTAAATGTTGGAAAGGCTGGTGATAGTTCCGTTCATACTTCTCCAACGCCATTTTTTGCAGGTCATGACTATTGTGACCACTATGATACACTCCCATAACGGCAATCCACTCACCGTGGAAAGCGGCGAGCCTTTTCTTGGTCCTTTGCCATTCCGTCTTGAGCTGATTCCGATCTCTTTTGCGGTTACTTGGTGTGGCAGTATTGTATAGAGCAGCAATGTCATCCCAAAACTGCTCAGACTTCTTTCCGTTCCCATCAATGGGATTGAGTGAACACTCCAGCCAAGCACCTGCCTACATTGTTCACAATTAATTCAGTTGAGGCCAACAACAAACAAGAAATTATATGCAACTAAACGGATTTGAGCAACGAATATCCTTACCAGTCTCTCATGTTCCTCGGGTGTATAGGGCAGACGATATGCGGTCCTTGCTCCCGATTCGTCGGCATCTACACTCTTGACCTTCCTTTTCTTTTTCTTTGAATCAACTTTGGTGGGAGCAGACTGAGATGAAACATTAGAGTGCGGTGGTGGCGGTGGTGTTGAAAAGGGATCATGTGGGGAAGCACCAACAAAGTGCAAATTCTCCATATTTTGGTATCCTTGTTCATGATGGTGCATTGGCTGAGGTTGAAAATTGTAAGGATTCATGGGCAGTAATTGTCCAAAACTTAGCAGGCCTTCAGGTGCAGAGGTATACATCGGCCTCCTGTTATATTGTAAATATCAGAATTAAGAAGCATTGTCCAAAGCTTGCTATTAGAAACTTTTGTCTGTTCTAATCATTGCAAGAAAAAAGTACAAACAAACAAGCGAAGCACATCCAAGTTCAAGTGTCTGATATAGTAGTAAACCGTTTGCACAATAAGCACACAGACACACATCACGGTGGACTTGCATATCCTCCAAAGCTCTAACGCTACAGAAATCCGATTCAGCAAGCAAAAACCTGAAGAATTGCAATGGTCTAATGCTACAGAAATTAAGGCTAAGACTTCAGAGTCTCTCTGCTTCAACACGCACACATGCTGAATCAGGTACTCGAGCTATAGAAATTACAATTACCTAATGCTGCTCTATAACCCAAATTGAATTACATAATGCTGCATACTCGAGCTACAGAAATTGTAATTGCCAAAGATTGAATTAAAGCAGAAATTTTATACCATGTAGGGTTGGCTGAGGAGGATTCCATGAGAGGCGGGTACAGGTGTGGCGGTGTCGAGGGGCTGGCCGAGGATCTTGTCGGGGCGCCGGGGTAGAAGAGAAGCTGTGGAGAGCGGCTGGCGAACGAGCTTGCTGTGGCGCCGGGGGAGTGCTGCGGCGGCTGCAAGGTGGCCGATGGCCGGACTTGCGCGGCGTCCTTACGGGCACCGGACTTGGCCATGAATCTGATGGCTTTGCGCCGCCTGCCAGAGCCGCCGCCGGCCGGCAAGACGGAGTGCGGGGCGCCGGAGCTCCAAGGCGGCAGGGAGGGAGAAGGATGAGGCCCAGGCGTGGAGGAAGAGAAAGTCACACGGGTGGGGATTTTCTTGGTTGCTTCGCGATGCGTCCAGCCGCCGCACACAGGATCGATTAGCATTAATTTTTTCTCGTATGCAGCGCTATGTTACCGGAACTAGCTAAGTTTCTCCAAAGCTCTCTCTCTTCATTTAATCAATGCCACGAAGGAATTTTTGCTGAGTTGGACCCGAAGTTCTGGCTGAAGTTCCAGCCTTAATGGAGTATATTTCCTCCACTAAGTTTTGGCCGGACCTAACCGATCCCCTATCCCTACATATAGGGGAGTAAAACTTACTTTTGGTTTCTGCATTTGTTGAACACTTGTCATGCGGCGAGATGGCCTGAACCGCCATTTGTCGTCTATGCACCGGAGCTTGCCAAGCTTCACCTTGACGACCTAATCTGCCTTCGGGGACACCTCATTCTCATTGCCATCCCTTGTACCGGGCGCTCCCGTGGCCGTGTCGGCGCAGCCATCGGCCAAGTGTCGATGCAGGGCACGTGGAAGGTGTGGCCGCTGGTGGGTAGCAGCCGGAGCGCGTCGTCCATGGCGGTCTCGCACAGGCACACGACACAGTCGAAGGGGTCACTGCGGCCCTTGCGGTTGCCGGCGCTGGCGCGAGGATTGCGCGGTAGACGAAGATGGGGAGCGCGTCGATGAAGATCTGGTCGACGCCGGCGTCTTGGAGGTGGAACAGCTGCTGGAGCTGGCCCTGGAGCTCTGGTCCACCACGGCCATCGCCGCACCGATGACCTTCTTCCTCCACCACCTCCTCGACTCGTCGTTGTCTGCCGCATTCAGGATCACCCCCCTCCCGGTGGTCACCGCCTTGGCAGTCATCAGAGTGACCCCCGCCGCAATGTCTTCACTGCAAAGAGCCCTCGGCCGACGTGCGTGGACCGGTGCATCTCACCAGCCAGACGTACTCCGCGAGGTCCGGGCACTTCCCGGAGAACCCGGTGAGGACCCAGTCCGACAGGTCCACCGCCCCGCTCCTGGCCTGCGCCTCGAGACGCCTGCACTCCTCGCGGAAGCAGCCGACAGCGAGCGCGTAGCGACCGAGGCCGCGAAGGAGCGCGCCCTTTGCGAGCAGCGCGGCTGGTGCCGCCGCGGCGAGTGGGAGGCAGACATTTTCCTCCAGCCCATAACGCGTGAGTATATCGAAAAAGTTTTTTCACCGAAGCCGGGAGCTACCGGCAGAGCATCAACTGTTCGAGTGCTTTTAGGGATTTGGACCCTGGTTTTGTGTATAAAAGAGATGAATAGAAATACATGTGGGCCTTTTTCATGCTCTTGTCAGCTTTATGTCAGGTGAGAAAGGTTGGGGAGAAGATCGGCTGCATGCATATGCTAAAAATAATCTCTCTCCCCCATCTTACTTCCATTTAATTTCATTGTGGGAATTTGGATGATTGATATTTTCTAATCAAAACTTCAATTTTAATTTTTTTTTATATTTGAATTCATAGTGAGAAGATCTTCAGAACAAGATCAATTTTGGATACATTTGAACTAGTTTTAATTTCACTGATTTCAAAAAACAGATTTCACTCAATTCAAAACATAAATTTCACTTATATCCAAAAAAATCATTAATTTCACATGATTTCACTCATATTATATAATGGATTTCACTAATTTCAAATGATTTGACTCATTTCAAAAATAGTTATCAGTCATTTGACATTTGAATGATTACTTATCTTTCAGTTGCATTCAAAATGCAATTTCACACGGTTCCAAAAAATGATTTCTCCGAAATTATAATAAGTTGAGTGAAATAACTTTCACGTGTCAACAAATGTAAGGTTCACATTTTGTAAATAACCAATTTCACATCTTTTTCACACACTGAAATAAGCAAACTTGACATACACATTGGAATATGTTTCATAAAAAAACATAATTCCACTCATTTTAGAAAACAGATTTCACTCATTTGAAAGAACCAATTTCGCTTATTTCGAATGATTTCACTCATTCCAAAAAACATATTTCACTCATTTCAATGAAAAGTTACGTTACAATTATATTTAAAAAACTAATTTCACTCTCTTCTAGAAAATTATTTCCTTGAAATTCAAAAAGTTTGAAATATGTTTCATAAGTATAAAAAATGCCGCATTTCATATGTTTTCACACACTAGTAAGTATAAGAACTGATTTCACTCAATTCAAAAACTATGTTTTCACACGTTTCAAGAAAATGATTTCACTCATTACAAAAGATAGATTCCATTAATTTCACTAGTTTCAGAAAATACATTACACTTATTACAAAAGATGGATTTCACTCATTTATGTTTCAATTTAATTCAAAATTCAATTTCATCAATTCTAAAAACTGGTTTCCTTGAAATTCAAAAAAGTTGAGTGAAATACGTTTCAGTTGTTGACAAATATAAGTTTCACATTTTGTAATAACCAGTTTCACATCATTTCACACACTTGAATAAGCAGACTTCAATATTTCAGAAAATTGACATGTTGAATTTTAGCAAAATAGTGATATATTAAAACTAGTGAAAATAATGTGATAATTTATTTCAAATAAATTTTTGAAATAGTACAATTTAAACAAGTTCAAAGCCCATCCAATATTGGTCTTGTTTAAAAGGTCTAGTTGCCAGAATTTCAAATATACATAAAATCTGAAAAATGGAGTTTCGGTTAAAAAAGATATAAAAATTTACAAAGCCAAATAAAATGAATGGATTTTGGGTGGGGAGAGAGGACAAAAAATTGGGGACCCAAGCATGCATGTGGCGTGTACTACCTCCGTCCTGGTTTATTGGTCCCCTTCATATTCAGTGTCAAAATTTGACCATAAATTAAACTAACAAAATATTAACATATGTCATAAAAACATATCGTTGCATCGTATTTAAACATAGTTTTCACTCAATTCAAAAACTATGTTTTCACACGTTTCAAGAAAATGATTTCACTCATTACAAAAGATAGATTCCATTAATTTCACTAGTTTCAGAAAATACATTACACTTATTACAAAAGATGGATTTCACTCATTTATGTTTCAATTTAATTCAAAATTCAATTTCATCAATTCTAAAAACTGGTTTCCTTGAAATTCAAAAAAGTTGAGTGAAATATGTTTCAGTTGTTGACAAATATAAGTTTCACATTTTGTAATAACCAGTTTCACATCATTTCACACACTTGAATAAGCAGACTTCAATATTTCATAAAATTGACATGTTGAATTTTAGCAAAATAGTGATATATTAAAACTAGTGAAAATAATGTGATAATTTATTTCAAATAAATTTTTGAAATAGTACAATTTAAACAAGTTCAAAGCCCATCCAATATTGGTCTTGTTTAAAAGGTCTAGTTGCCAGAATTTCAAATATACATAAAATCTGAAAAATGGAGTTTTGGTTAAAAAAGATATAAAAATTTACAAAGCCAAATAAAATGAATGGATTTTGGGTGGGGAGAGAGGACAAAAAATTGGGGACCCAAGCATGCATGTGGCGTGTACTACCTCCGTCCTGGTTTATTGGTCCCCTTTGTATTTTGTGTCAAAATTTGACCATAAATTAAACTAACAAAATATTAACATATGTCATAAAAACATATCGTTGCATCGTATTTAAACATAGTTTTCAATGGTATAATTTTTTGTGACATGCATTGACATTTTGTTAGTTAAAACTATGGTCAAAATTTGACATTGAATACGAAGGAGACTAATAAACCAGGACGGAGGTAGTACTTCTCTGACGAAAGGTAGTAGTTTATTCTGGGAGAAAAATTCATGGGACCCGCATGCCAGTTGATGTGACTTCTTAAAATTGCTACACAAGAGGGGATTTGCTGAATACAGAGACTTATGAATGTGGTACTAGATGAGCTGGATGCACCTTATTGGATGGGTGGGCGTCGATACCTCCCGCCACCGGCAAAAAGGAGTTTGCGATGAGTTTATTTACTCCTCTACAGGTTTTAGTCTTCAGCTAGGCCCACTTTAGAGGAGACTTTTACTCCTCTATAGCCGAATAAGGGATCGACTGAAGTTGGCCTTAGGTTTAGTGTAGGATAAACTCGCTCCCGAGAATCCATTTGTAACTACTGCATATTAGTCAGCATTTTGTTAGTGCGTAATATCAACTTTCTGATAAAGAAGTTGATATAACCCCCGAGGTTTCATGAATCGACCACTTAACCCCCTGAATTATAAAATTGAATATTTAACCTTGTGGTGTTTAAAAACCCAGACAAATATCCCCCTCGCCTGATATAAGCGGTCTCAGCAGTTAGTTTTGCCAATGGCATGAGTCAGTGAAAGAGAAAATGCTAAGGTGAACATAGCTACAAATTAGAATCTCTTTTTGCGAAAAGGTCAAAGGTCATATATTAAGAAGCACAAACACTTACAAAAACACCCAACAAAATTAGAAAGTTACATCCAAATCCTTGAGGGTTTTGAAGTCTTCTTCCTCCGCATCCACCGGCTGTCGGCCATGAGCAAAACTCGCTGTGGACCCTGGACCCTCATTTTGAGCAGAGCAAACTTGTTTGATGTAGCTAAATCTGATAGATCCCTCAGTAGGGTATCTAGCTAGGCACTTGGCATGATGATAAAGGTGACAAGAGTTTACCCAACTCCGGACTGAGATAATACCATATGTCCTGCTCTTTCCTTTAATGCTTTGCAGTAAATATATAGTACAAAGTACCAAGGGATTGTTATATGTTTCTTCACAAAAACCTACTGGGGGTCCTAGGGTTTACACAACTAGGTCGGCTACGTCGGTGGAGGTAGAATCCTCCACGGCTCTTGTACATCACATCATGTATACCGCCATGGGTCTCCCAAAGTGGCCCGGGACGAAACCGACAAAGGGGTGCTCAGCCCGGCTCAGCGGGCCAGGAACGTTATCATGAGAGGCATGTTAGCTAGGACACTATCAGTAGCCCTTGAGCCAGTCCTCAAGTTTAGCTGCACCTCTATTCTTTCGAGTTGCATGTCGTCTTCGGTCATCGGTCTTGAAACAGGTTCAATGAAATGTCTTCCAAACAATGTCTTCATGCAATTGACCTCCATCTAGCGAGGTGCTCCCAAGGTGACGTGAACCACCTCGGTCTTGGAAATGTTGTAAAGAGGACCGTACTATACACCGGAAAGATTCCCCGCTATGCCCATTGGTCAGCGAGACAAGTTCCTACAAGGCGTCTTGAAAGTCTTACTGGCTGGCTCTGACAAGTCATGTCAGTCTTATCCATGGGCCAACTTAGCCACGTGTCATCCTTGACCTAACGGTCAATGTGGCATGCGGGAGTTGGTCAGGGGCCCACTCAGGCCGCGTTCCCATCGGTAGGGGGTATGCACCTTGATCCCCGCACAAGGGTTAATAGCAACCCCTTGATCCATGTGCGTCTTTAACACCTTAATGCGGGAATGCAAAGGGAATTGATGCCACACGGTGGGATTAGCCTATCGTCGCTCCATTTTTTTCCCACTGCTTATATAAGGGCGGGGGCGATACGAGGGAAAGCTTCACGCTTTCTTCCCCTCACTCTCATCTTCTTTCTCGCACCCAAACTCCTTAGTGCTCCAGTGCTCCATCGTTCACCACCACCGTGCCATCGCCAAGGCCTCAAGCACCTCTGTCGATATAGGCAAGGGTCTCGCTCCCATGCCAAAGGTGTCATCCGCCACCAAGGGCAAGTGGAAGTCATCGACCATGACGCGCGGCCAGCCGGGCCGCCTCTTCATCGTCGGTTACTTGCCTGCATTGGAGATCGCCTTCGTGTGCCCCCGGGCTCACCT